ACCGTAGGTGCTTTTCTATACACAAATTTGGGAACAACTTCTTAAAATGGGATCTGCCCTTAAAATACTCCAGTGTTTGCTAAAAACTCTTTCTATTTTTTTGTAATGGATATTAAAGTCTAAGATTATTGACAGGTTGTCCTCTGTATTGTCTTCTTTCTTTTTATCTTGTAAGAATAGACTTCTCTCTCTATTTCCCACTTCAGCTATACTCTGGGTAATCATATCCTTAGGATACCCTTTATCAACAAATCTAGATCCCAACTTATTCGCTTGTTCTAAATAATCACTTTCAAGGGTACAGTTCCTTCTGACTCTCACAAACTGACCCTTTGGGATATTAAACAACCAAGGGGGGAAATGACAGCTCCCCATTGGTATGTATCCATTACAATCCACACTTTTAAAATATGTTTTAGTTAAAAACTTTCCATTAATAATCTTAATATTTAAATGTAAAAAACTGTATTTCTTCCTTACTATGTTCCCATGTAAATCTGATATTCTTATTATTTTCATTTAATTTATTTAAAAACTTCAATAAGGTATATTCTTCTCCTTCCCAAATAATAATCACGTCTTCTATATATCTTTTATAAACTTTTAACTCCTTTGGATAATCTTGATATACCTCCATTTCTTCCCAGTGTGCCATAAATATATTGGCTACACTTGGTGCAAAACGGGCACCCATTGCTACGCCCTTATTTTGTTAATAGTAGGTGTGCTCATGCCAAAAATAATTGTGACTCAAACCAAATTCAAGACATTCCAATAAGAACTTTCTTTGAGTCCAAGGCAGATGACTATACTTCCTGAGCCCCCACCCAACTGCCTCTATAGCATCCTCATGTCCTATGATTGTATACAAGGAAGATACGTCCGCACTGGCTAGATTTCTACATTTCTTCCTCCTTTGAATTCCTCCTGCACCTGAATCAGATGCTTGGTATCACGTAAATATGCTGTAGTATTTTTTACCACTGGTTGCAAGAATTCATCTATATATTGTCCCAATCTAGCCCCCACTGACCGTATGCCATTTACTATAGGTCTGTCTGGTGGCTTTGTGGCATTTTTATGTAACTTCGGAACTGTGTAGATAACTGGGACTCTGCATGTATCTGGGACTAAATATTTAGCTTCTTTTTTATTTAAAACATTTATATTGGTACCCTTCTTTATCAACTTATCTAATTCCTTTTTGTATGCCAATGTGGGTTCTTTTTTTAATATTTCATACATACTAATATCTTTTAGCTGAGTGGATAGTTCACTTAAATAATATTCCTTAGACAGTATGACTATCCTTCCTTCCTTGTCCGCTGGCCTTATGACTATATCATCCCTTTTAGTCAATTTCTTAAGGCCTATTTCCATCCATTTATTATTTCGTGATTTTGGAATATTGAGTATTTCTAAATCATGGTTCACCAATTTTTAAAAACATCAATGTGGCTTGTTATTAAGCTGAGGATTAAAAAGTGATCTATTTCTAAGACTTGTGTGGGCAATATTACTGGGAGCACTACTAACTGTTTTTGGCTCCTGGTAAACTTAAAAAATATTTTTTGCTATTTAATTTTCTGATGTATTTTTGGGTATCTATAAAAACATTAAATTTCTTGACAGGAGCCGGGGGAGCATATTTAAGGCCTTTATCCAATACCAGTAGTTCCTCTCTGGTCAATTGTGAGCCATTGATATTGAAAATTCCATCACCTATTATTCTCTTTTCCTTTTGCTTTTGTTTTTTCCGGCCTGCCCTGCATCCCCTTCTCTTCCTGGGCTCCTCCACCTTTCTCTCTGGGGACTACTTTCCCCTTGACCCCTCTCTAAAAAATCTCCACGTGGATAATCAGATCTTAAAGGTTCAAACCTATTATACCTTTTGATAGGCCATACCCGGAAGATAGGTGGGACTATCGACTCTAGGGCCACTATATATATACACTATATAATATATATTTGAGTAGTGTATATGTTAGAAGACATCTATTCACACCTGGTCCATTCCCCTTTTTAAATAGATATAACTAGTTTATTTTATATTCAGAGTCATTTTATTAATAAAGGTAATATTTAGTGATTTTAGTTTAATATGGGTTTTGACTGTTTGGGGCTTCTAGCTGGATCTATTGTTTTTTTTCCTGGGTATAGAGGCTAGCTTATTAGGAGCATACACACATATTTGTTTGGCTTCTATAAAATGGCCTGGGAGGCCAGATATGCTCCTATTCTACAGTTGTAGGCTTCTAGAAAATGGCTGTGGTTCATTATTAGCTTGGGAGGCGGGATATGCGCCTATGCCGCTATAAAAGGAGCAGCTGCGTCCCCTTAGCGATACCCCGAGGAAGTCACGAGATCACGTGACGTAACGCGTAGGTACGCCGATACGCAGTTTACGGTACAAGTGACGCACTTCAGGTGGAGGACGCCATCTTAGTACACCCAGTACACCCAGGAAGTACCACATGGATGCAGCATACCCACATACAGCAGGAGGAAGGGACTGCATGTTCATGTGAGTGTACTTCTTATGTTTTAATAAAAAGACTGCATTACTTAAAATACTACACTATGGAGGATCTTTTTTATTAGTCACTGGGATTGTGAGTAATATACCCCACAGAGTACCGTTATAAAGGGCAGAGGAGGAAGCATTGGAGGCTGAACAGGAGACAGTTTATGATCCTTGGCTTTCTGGAGAGATATTAGCCGGTGATGCGAAGGATCCAAAGTGATCCTGAATGCTTGTTGGGCCCCATGGGGTAACAGTAAGGAGGCGAGGAGGCACTGCAGCTGGAGTGGATTCAAAGTGTGCCGACACTTGCACGAAGTTTTCACGTTTAATACATTGCATGGTTTTATATCACTTTTTATCAACACTTGCAATTTGTGATCTATGGACTTATAATTGCTTGTTTTAAAAGTTTTTTTGAGAATTAGTAAGGACACTTAATACCAGTTTACTTTATTAAATAATTTGTGTGTTTACCACTATCCTTAGGTCACTAAGGTGACCAGCACACCAGTATTGTTCACTTTTGTGATATCACGTTTTTTATTAGTCACTTTATTGCTATATGCATATTTTGTTTTTTTGGACCCATTAGCACTGTGTTTTTATATAGATACATATTTATTCATATTTGTTTTTGAAGTCAGCGCTGCACCATTTATTTTTATTTGTTTGATTGGTATCATTGGGTGTTGGCCGCTATTGATTAGGGTATTTCCATATCAGCGCAGGAGGACCTTTAGTTTTTCAATCTGCCTTTACCAGTGTCCCACCAGTGTGCAAAGGCGTTGCATATGTTGGCCCTGTCCTCATACATAAACGGCGATTGTACCACAAATGTGAGGTATTGCCATGGACGTTAGAGCGAGAGTAATAACTTTAGTACCAGACCTCCTCTGTAACTCTAAACTGGTAACCTGTAAAGGCTTATAAAGCGGCGATTTTTAAATACAGAAGTTTGGCGCAATTTTAAACCGTGACATGTTTGGTATCTATTTACTCGGCCTAACACCATATTTTATATTTTACAAAAAATGGGTATTGTTTTTATGTGCATTAAAATTTATTAAAGTGTATTTTTGTGTTAGTGTGTAAAATTTGCAGAACCAAGCATTTTAGGGTCTCTGCTAAAAATATATATATAATGTTTAGGGGTTCCAACTGCTAGAAAAATACTGATTTTACATGTAAACAAAAAATGTCAGAAGGGTCTGGTCTTAAAGTGGATAAAGCCTGAAGCTTCTCTTTGGATGTTGGGCCTCTCTTTGTGGCTAGGCTGTGAAAAAGTTTCACACATGTGGTATTGCCATGCTCAGGAGGAGTGGCAGAATGTGTTTTGGGGTGCAGTTGCAAGTATGCCTATGCCACCTGTGAGAAATAACTTGTTAATAGGACATTTTTGTGGAAAAAAAACACATTTTATTCACAGTAATTTCTTAATTTTACAAAGAATTGTTTAAAAAAAAAAAACGTGCCATGCCTCTTACTAAATACCTCAGATTGTCTATTTTCCAAAAAGGGTTCATTTGGGAGGTAGTTGTACTGTCCTGGCATGTTAGAGCCTCAAGAAATGAACTGTCAGTACATCAGGTGTGATCAATTTTCAGTAATTGGTATCAAATTAGACTCTATAATGTTCACACAGACCAAATAATATACTTGGATTTGTTTTTTTTTTACCAAATAAATGTAGCCGTATACATTTTGATTAAATTTATGCAGGAAGCTCCCAGTTTCGGCGCCGCATGTGAGGATGGCAGGGCCCGTGGTTCCGGAAAGATCAGCTTAAAAAGCCGGCTACCTTCAGCAGGGGTGACATAAAATCGGCACAAACGTGCCCCCCGATCCCCCCCCCAGATTTACCTGCCATGGAACGAATCCTCCTCCCAGTCCTAAACGGCTTGGGATCGGCAGTTGAGGCAGAGGGAAGCAGCTCTCCCCCTTCTGCAGCCAAGATGGCCGCCGAGCACAGCAGCAGCATGGACACAGGACAAGGTATGGCAGAGACACAGACACAAGTCACAGCCGCACTGAGCCATGCTGACACCTGTAGTTCCACAGATCAATATGACAAAATAGCACAAGCTGTTGCTCCTTACTGTTACCCACTATTACCCAGATGGTTCCACCTCCCCCACAAGAGACTCTAAATCATTCGTTCACCCGGAGGAAGCCCTCCAATACATCCAGACCAATATGTTGGATATCCGTGACCCTCCGAAATTCACACTCTGCAATCCGAGACCCAGGCCCAAGAGACCAACGCAGCCCTGACAAGGACCCACCTAAGCGAAAACGAGTCAACTTTTCTTCTGCTAAGTCAAAACCGCCCTAATAGGGCCAACTCTCAATATGGTGCATTATCTCCTCTTCACCTACTGACTGCAACGACACACACTTAGACATCAAGTTCTAGGCTGTGTTACATGTCTTCTAATCTGTGAGTCACCCACCGCTGTGAGGACCCCTGCCTTCTGATCGCTGGGCCCCTGGAGAAACTGGCCGCTGGGAGGGCCCCTGCATGCTGGTCGCTGGGCCCCTGGAGGAGCCGGCCGCCGTGAGGGCCCTTGCTGCTGATCGCTAGGCCCCTGGAGGAGGCGGCTGCTGTGAGGGTCCCTGAAAGCCTCCTGAGCGTCTGCAAGTCGCCTACCGTGAGTGTCCCTAGAAGCCATGAACTGCCCGTGGTGTGTGCACAGACTACCCGTGTCCTGAACTGTCCCTGTTGTGCGCCCAGACTACCTGTGTCCTGAACTGTCCCTGTTGTGCGCCCAGACTACCCGTGTCCTTAACTGTCCCTGTTGAGCGCACCGACCTTCCCCGTGTCCTGAACTGTTTCTGCTGTGTGCATCGACCACCCGTGTTCTGAACTGTTCCTGCTGTGTGCACCGACCACCCGTGTTCTGAACTGCCCCTGCTGTGTTCACTGACCACCCGTGTTTTGAACTGTCCCTGCTGTGTGCACCGACCACCCGTGTTTTGAACTGTCCCTGCTGTGTGCACCGAACACCCGTGTTCTGAACTGTCACTGCTGTGTGCACCGATCACCCGTGTTCTGAACTGTCCCTGCTGTGTGCACCGACCACCCGTGTCTTGAACGGTCCCTGCTGTGTGCACCGACCACCCGTGTCCTGAGCTGGCCCTGTTGTGCGCACAGACCACCTGGGTTATGAACTACCCTACTACATGCCTAGACTACCCTTACTTGAAACGCTCCATGGCGTGCCCGGAGTATAGCTACCTGTGATGCCCCTGAGCGCTTGAGCCATCGCTACCCTTTTGAGTCCCTGTGAACCCGATGTCCCTAGAAAGCTGGGTGGGAGCTGTGCTAGGCCAGACTCCCCAGCTAGAGTCCCGTTGAGTCCCCGAGACCCCTGCCCAGGTGTAGGTTGCCCGCCTGTTGCCCGAGTTTCCAATCCGCTGTCCAGTCATGGAGGGAGCTCGGCTGAGGCCCCAAGCCTAGGGGGGAGATTGCCTGCCTGTTGCCCGAGATCCCTGCCCAGGGGTAGGTTGCCCGAGTCTCCAATCCGCTGTCCAGTGATGGAGGGAGCTCGGCTGAGGCCCCAAGCCTAGGGGGGAAATTCCCTGCTGTTGCCCGAGACCCCTGCCCAGGGGTAGGTTGCCCGCCTGTTGCTGAGTCTCCAATCCGCTGTCCAGTCACGGAGGGAGCTCGGCTGAGGCCCCAAGCCTAGGGGGGAGATTGCCTGCCTGTTGCCCGAGACCCCTGCCCAGGGGTAGGTTGCCCGAGACTCCAATCCACTGTGCAGTCAAGGAGGGAGCTCGGCTGAGGCCCCAAGCCTAGGGGGGGGAGATTGCCTGCCTGTCACCGAAGTCCCCCCGTGCTTGGAATCGTCCCTGGTTTGCGCACACATCACCCTCCCTGCCATTTCCCCATTGAGTGTCTGTCATTTTGTTGTTTCAATAAAGCTTTGTGTGTTCCCCATCTTCTCCGTTTGCTCTGTCCTGCCTACGCTTCCGTTGGTCAAAGAGGTTACATGTGGAAAAATGTGAAGTTCAGATTGCTATTATGGTGTACAGAATTTTTTGTTTGTTCAAAAGGCCCCCATTGGGCTTTCAATATGTTTTCTCCCCTGTCCATCTTCTTCCTACATTCTTCTTTCCTACCCGGAGAACCACTACTGCCTCTGATCCCTCTACTAATACAGCCCAGCTTGGAAAAAACGAGTCGAGCTTGACAGCTATACGTCATTCTCAACTGATTTAAATTCCGTTCACTACAACCACGCACTCACAACATCATGACACGCATAATTTCTTGGAACGTAAAAGGCCTGAGATCACCCCACAAGCGCATGGCGGTACTACAACATCTCCAACGGATGAAAGCAGATATAGCATTACTCCAAGAAACACACCTATCCCAAAATGACTTTGCACGTATGCAGAAGTTGTGGGTGTGTAAGCCGTGTACCGGGGTGGGCTCCCCAGGATACAGTAAAGTCACGAACAAGGAAAGCAACCCCAACACCAGCTTTTGCCACAACAGAATTTTACTTAGATATGGCAAATAAGCACAACCACAAATGCTGGATACATACATAAATTTACATACACCCAGCCCAAAGGCTGAGACCCTTGTGCTGCACAGCACAGCGCTTTCTGATCGATGAAGGTAGAAAGTGAAGTAATTTACCTACTGGCTGGCACAAATAAGCTGGCACACCTTATCTGTTACCCTAAAAGAGCAAGAATCAGTGTATGGGTGTATGGTATGGGCTAGCCTGCGGTGCAGCACAACAGCTTACAATCTTACACAAATCTACAGTATTCCCCCTCCCATAACTGGTCCTGTGGCACGTGCCTGAGTATTCCTTCTGATCAAAACGCCAGTCTGGCTTGAGTTTGTAACATTTTATCAGCTCTCCAATGTGAAATGTCACTTTAAGTTGTGGAGTCCTTCCAATAATCAGTAACAACACTTGTGGCCTGACACAAACAGAGACCCTAACCAACTAACTATAGGCCTGGACTCAGTCTCAAGGCGCCAACACTGAAATGAGGTGCGTGCACGATCTTACCGACCCGGGTCTGCTTTGCATCCAATGGTGACTCTGAACAGAACAAATGTCTCTCCAACAAGCATGCGGTCTTGCCGTATATGTTGCTTAGTTCCTCTGCTCTCATCAGCCTTCCTGGCAGCAATCTCATCAGCATTCCTAACAGCAATCTCTGGTTACTGAGGGACGCTTTCACACCTAGATGTCATCAGATTCTCAGCTCACATGGCCTCCTATTCTCCATGCTCCAAAACATGGCTTCTCCCTCTCCTTCCTGCTCTCTCCAACTCTGTGTGCAAAACCCCACCTCTTCATGATTATACAAATATCTATGCAGTCTGAGGCTGTGTTAGAAAAACAGTGACATCTTGTGGCTAAACCGGAGAATGTCAGTCAAAACATTAATTTACTTCCACACAAACAGTGTTCAAACAATGAGAGCTGTTTCCCCATCTCACAGGTGGGACGGGTACTAGGCTCCCCCTCTCTTCACCATAAAGCAGGAGTATTAATTTTCATACACAAACGACTCACCCCTGACATCCTCTCCATAGAAACTGATGATGAAGGACAATATGTCTCAGCTCATGTCAAGATGGGCTCATCCCCTCTGGTTCTCACAAATATATACGCCCCAAACTCCCCACCTAAACAATTTTTTCAAGATATATCGTCTAAAATTTCTAAATACATGCACCTTCCACTTATAAAAGGAGGTGACTTTAACTCTTGCTCAGATCAACTGACCATACCCCATGACTTCCCTCCACCCCTACTCCGACACACGTTGCTTAACAGCTTTGCCGAGGCACTCCAACTCATAGACGGCTGACACACTCGGACGGTAGAGACTTCACTTTCTTCTCCCCAGTCCACCACTCTTTATCTAGAATTGATTACTTTTTCTCTAATCCCACCCTGCATACAACATATGGCAGATTCAACTATACACAACATTGCTATCTCAGATCATTCTCTGATCTCCATAACCCTTCAGTACCTAACACCTAGCCCACAGGCATGAACATGGTGCTTCCCCTCGTACCTAGCAAACAATCAGGATTTATTCCGGGTGTTGCGAGGCGCTTGGAGTGAGTTCTGTGACGCCAATACAGCTTACCTATCTAACCCAAATGGGGAAACAGGAAACTGCCAGGAAAGGCAGTGCTCCACGGCAGAATTATCGCATTCACTTCTACCTATAAGAAACACCTCCTTCGTAAATACACAGAAGCTAGCCAACGCTTAAGACAAGCTCAGAGAGAATTGATGGACCATAACTCATATGAGAATAGAAAGGCATGGGCAGATGCCAAACACCAATTTGATACCTGGGCAGTGGCCCAAGAGTCCATTCATCAATCATATCTTGATCTCCACTACCACAAATATGGGAACAAGTCGGGTAAACTCCTAGCACGTCTATGCAGAAAAACTTTCGTCCCCACCCACTTTGCTACTCTAAAAGATTCCCAGGGCACTCTAAAAAATTCCTCAGAGGAGATCATTTCCATATTGGAGAATTTCTTCACAAACTTTTATGATGCAGACCCTATAGATGCAGATCGGGCCACTGCTTTTCTAGAACACATTAACCTTCCTCAAAAGGATCCTACTACAGTCCAATCCCTGAATGCCCCGATACCTCAAGCTGACATTAGCCAGGCTATTCAATCTTTAACAAATGGAAAAGCCCCTGGACCTGACTGCTACACCGCAAAGGTCTACAGAATTATGACCAGAACCCTTACACCTACACTGCAGACAGTGTTTCAAATAATCCAAGAGGGGAGGGGAATACCTCCCTTCTGGCTTTCAGGCATACATCAAGCTAATAGTCAAAAAAGATAAAGACCCCACTAATCCAGGCTCATACCATCCAATTTCTCTATTGAACCTAGATGCTAAACTGCTATCTAAAATCATTGCAAATCGACTGGCCTCAATTCTACCCTCATTAATCCACCCCTCCCAAGCAGGCTTCGCTCAGCTACCTCAAATATACGTAAAGTCTTAAAATTTCTAAATCACGCTAAATATAACCCTCTCCAAGATACAGAGATCATATCCCAATGCCGAAAAGACCTTTTGATAATGTTAACTTCACCTGGTTATTCTTAACTATACGAAGAATTTGGATTTGCGGGCCCATTTATCCATGTGATTCAAGCACTGACAGCCGAAGTTATTGCGGAGGGTCGCATATCTAATCCCATAAAACTCCATAAGGGAACTAGACAGGGATGTCCCCTATTCCCATTACTTTTTAATCTTGCCCTGGAACCCCTAGCCCGTTTCTTGCTATTCCATTCCGATCTCTATGGGGTCTCAATCGGCCAACAAGAATTGCGATTATCGCTATTCGCGGATGACATCTTAATTTTCACCTCGAGCCCCTCTTTGGATCTGCCATATATCCGAGACACATTTACCGAATTTCGTCATTATTTAGGTCTGTGTATAAATTTTTCTAAGAGTGAAGTTCTGCCACTGTACCACACTCGCCCTCCTGAGTGGACCCTGAACTCACAGTTCACACTAGCCCACAGCTATATCACATATCTAGGCATTAAAATAGGAAAGTTAGCTTCTTCACTATACACTCTTAACTTTACACCAACAATTAATAACATTTTGGGGGAGTTGGAAATGTGGAGAGATTTACCATTATCACTTCTGGGTAGGTCGCATCTGTTTAAGATGGTGAGCTTCCCGAAGCTATTATGCCCTCTTCAGACTATACCTCTCCTTCTCCGGCATAGAGATTGCACGAAGATAAACCAGGCAATATCCAAATTTCTTTGGAAAGGCAGACATCCTCGCATTGCACTACACAAATTGTATCCTCTGAGGGGTGAGGGTGGGTCCGGGCTCCCCAATATATGAATATATAACCTTTCCTGCCTGTTACGTGTCTGTTTGGACTGGCTTACTCAAGCATCTAAATATTCCAACTTCCAACTC